AAAAGTCGTTCTATGTCTATATAAATAAAACCAAAACAAAGGATTCGGTAGGACCTTTAAAAGATGAGACTAACCAAACTATAATGGACGACAAAAGGGCAGCAAACACTCTAAATGAATATTTTACATCAGTGTTCACACTAGAAAGGTTAGATGACTTCCCATCATCCACACAAATGTTGCAAGGTGGTGAAGAGAATAAATTAAAAAATATAACCATAACATACAACAAAGAACACTAACAAACTAAAAGACTTGAAAGTCCCAGAATAGATTGTACTGTATTCCAACCACAATTTAAAATCATTAAGGAACTGGCAGAACTATGCCTACCACTGAAATTACTTTTCACAAAGTCTCTGGCCCAAGGGGATAGTCTTAGACTGGAAATATTCAAATGTCATCACTATTTTCAAGAAAGGCAAAAAAAACCTCAGCGATGAACTACCATCCAATCAGCTTGACATCACACATCTGCAAGCTCATGGAGAGAATCCTAAGGGAGGAAATCATTCTCCATCTTTCAGTGAACAAAATTTTAAAATCGACACAACATGGGTTTGTTAAATTTTTTTTAACAAATCCATGTTTTTTAAATATGGGTTTAATCCTTTCCTGCTTAGGTTTGTAAGGCAGGATCTATTAATAGATCCTGCCCTACAAACCTACTCACATTTTAGAAATGGTGACCAGCTATTCAAAGGACTTCCGGTTGATGTGGTAGACCCCATATCATGGATTTTGCAAAAGCCTTTGATAAGGTACCACATGAAAGACTGGCTAAGAAATTACAGGCACATGGAATAAATGAAAGAATACTAGAATGGATAAAACAATGGTTAAAACAAAGAAAACAAAGTGTGGTGCTAAATGGTATTGAATCTGACTGGAGAAATGTGGTAAGTGGGGTACCACAGGGGTCCATTTTGGAGTCAACCTTTTTTGTCATACACATCAATGACATAGATTAGAATATTACAAACCACATCATCAAATGTACAGATGACACAAAGATTTATGGTAAAGTGGGAAATGATAATGATGTTGAAGCCTTAAAGAGGCCTGCAGGAACTCCACAAATGGTCAGATGACTGGCAAATGCTTTTTAATATTAACAAATGCAAGACCCTGCATGTGGAGCATAACAACCCATGCCACAACAACCAAATTAATAACATTATACTACATCGAGTTCAATTGTATAAATCACTGGTGTGCCCCCATTTAGATTACTGTATCTAAGCATGGAGAAGCAGAGGTGCAATAGGTACCTTGATGGAGAACTCTATCAACATCAGAGACCCGAGACTCTTCAACACGCTTCGACTACACATAAGGGGGTATAACTGGCCGACCCCGGGAGGGAGCCGGTCGGCCAAGCGGACAGCACGCTGCACTTGTGATCCTGTGGTCCCGGGTTCAATCCCGGGCGCCGGCGAGAAACAATGGGCAGAGTTTCTTTCACCCTATGCCCCTGTTACCTAGCAGTAAAATAGATACCTGGTGTTAGTCAGCTGTCACGGGCTGCTTCCTGGGCGTGGAGGCCTGGTCGAGGACCAGGCCGCAGGGACACTAAAGCCCCGAAATCATCTCAAGATAACCTCGAGATAACCTGACCCCTCACAGTGCTCAAGAGAGAACTCGATAAACACCTCCAAAGGATACCTGATCAACCAGGCTGTGACTCATACGTCAGGCTGCGAGCAGCCGTGTCCAACAGCCTGGTTGACCAGTCCAGCAACCAGGAGACCTGGTCAAGGACTGGGCCGCAGGGACGCTAAACCCCAAAACCAACACAAGGTAACCTCAAGGTAACCTACAGCAGATTTATGAAGAAAAGTATCTTGGAGTCAAAATCTACCACTCAATGAAAGTTGTACAGCAGGTAGGGACAGCAGTCAAAAAAGCTAACCAAACATTAGGAATAATCAAGTGTACCTTCGACTTCAAGGAAAAGAAGGTAGTGATTTAATTGTATAAATTGCTGGTGTGCCCCCATTTAGATTACGGTATCCAAGCATGGAGACTATCTTCAGGACATAGCTGCTCTGGAGAAAGTGCAACATCGGGCAACAAAAATCATTCTAGAGCTAAGTCAACTCATGTATCAGGAATGGTTGAGGGCCACAGGGCTAACAACACTGCAAACCAGGCATGACAGGGCAGATTTTATTGAAACTTTAAAAATACTGAACAATTTGAAGAATGTTGATCCGGAAAATTTCTTCAAAAGATCAGATGTAACACAAACAAGGAGCAACAGTTTCAACCTCAACAAGCCACAATGTAGGACTGAGAACAGGTGGTGGTTTTTCACCCACAGAGTTATTAACCCATGGTACAGTACTGCCTACCCGCTGAAGCCGTAAATGCCAAAACTGTTAACTTTTAAGGTTACAGCTGGAAAAGATCAACAAGCTGCCGGCTTCCTGTCTTTGTTGAGGCTACTAGTATTAGTGGCTCTCAGATAAACTCAGTAAGCTGATGTCATAGCCTTAATAACCCGTGGTTATTCCCCATGGTGTAGTGGCAAGACACTCGTCCTGCTTGTCGTGAGTGCTTTGTCCTGGATTCGTACCCTGGCCGTGGAGGATTTCTGGGCATCAATCCATAACTGAAGCCTTTGTTTACCCAACAATAAAATGGGTACCTGTGTTAAATGATTTGGCAGGGTTTGTATTCCGGGAAATATTAGGATTAAGGACTTGCCCAAAATGCTACGGGTGCTAGTGGCTGTACAAGAATGTAAGAACTCTTGCATATAGTATAAATAAATAAAAAAAAATGCAGAGATTGATAGATGTTTAGCCTAACATCAAAACAGGTTGTTAGTATTTTCTGCAGAACTGTTTAATATAACTTTTTATAAATTGTTACCAGCATTGTCAAGTATATTAATGCAATAACTTTTATTTAAAAATACACAGAACATGAGAGTGGTTGCTTATTTGTTACATAAAGGTATATATATTAAATGTAGCCACTTATATACAAAGTCTTTCTGGGATAGCTTGAGAAACTCTAGTTAAATTATTGACATGTTTAATGGGATATACAGTATGTAGGTGACTGATAGACAGGTATACATTTTTAGTTAATATTTACAAATAAAGACACAAAAATGTCTTATTTAGGATGAGGAAATGCAATTGAACATAATTTTTGGGAGTTTCTCCTATACACTGGTTGAGAGAAGTAAAGTTTTTTATCACATTTGGGAGGGCTTTTCACAATTTGGGACCCCCTCTATTTGCATAGCATTTCTGCTTTGGTTAAGTCTCACTGTAGGAATATGTAATAGGTATTTGTTTCTCATTTCTAATCCTCTATTACTCTCTCATCTATTATCTAAATTATGGTATTTGTGCTTGGGGTTCTACTACCCAAAATCATCTATGCCCTCTAATTACTCAACACAAAGCTGCGATTAGAACAATATCAAACTCTGGCCCCAGACAGCACTTGGTACTCTTACTTAAATCTTTGAATAAGTTAGATAATAAGTCACTGCACATCCTATCATGTGTACTCTATATATTTAAAACTCAGAACTGTAATGCCAATCCTGACATTAAATGCTTCCTAGAAGGTTGTAACAGAAGCCATGGGCACCACACTAGAAACAAATACACTGTACAGTGGAACCTCGAGTGACGAACGACTCCAGTTACAAGCGTTTCGAGTAACGAGTGAGCCACTCGCAGAAAATTTGTCTCGATTAACGAGCAAACCACATGGTGCTTCCTAGCGTTCCCACTGGTTCTCGGACACCCCTGACGGCAGTGTTGTTATTGTTTCGCAAGACGAGCATTTCACATGACGAGCTTAGTGCTGGAACGGATTAAATTTGTTAATCTAGGCACCACTGTACCTATTTGATATTCCAAGAGTGCAACTTAACCAAACTAGAAATGCTCTGCAAATCAAGGGACCCAGAATGTGGAATGACCTTCTCAGTCATGTCAAAGACTGTACCTCTCTCAACCAGTTTAAGAGAAAAACTAAGTACTGTACTACCTAATAAACTCCATGTAACCACCTTTACCCCCCTAAATGTCAACCTATGTCTTTCTATTTTCTAACACTATGGATTATTGACTAGTTTTTTCTGCTGATATCTGCCATGTATAAACTTGAAGAAAATTGTAGTCTTCTGTTTATTTAGTTAAAATTACCTCTGCTGTTCCGTTTCAATTTCTACTGTTCCATCATGTAATTATAATTTTTTTCCCTTTTCAATTCAATTTATGCTTTGATCTTGGTTCAAAATGTTTTTCCCACATCTTGCCCAAAACGCCATACATATTAGTGGCTTTAGGCATAGTATGTACTAGCTCTATCTAGAAATCCAACATTCATTGTAACTCATTTTGCATGTACTTTTTTTTTTATTTTACTTGTGTGCCAATGGGTCTTGTTATAGCCCTTTTGGATGCGTTTGAGGTCAGGATTAGTAATGCCGTTCAGAGAGTTGTAGATGTAGAGAACATTATAGTGGAAGTAACCCGATATTTAATTTTTTCGTAACGATATTTAATTTTTTCAAGGATTGCAGTAAGGATGCCAAGTGCTGTCTGGAATTGGAATGTATTATGATTGCTGATTTATGTTGAGTACTGTAGTTAGCAGTACTCACTACTAACTACACTAAGTAGTTAGGTAAAATTACCTAACTACTGTAGTTAGGTAATTTTGGGTTGTGGATACATAAGCACAGATACTGTAGGTGACATGGATTGATGAGTAAATTATAAAGAACTGAACTTTGAAGTTGTAATGTAATGTAGAACTTCTTCATATATTTATTTTATAGCTTTTGGAAAACCTATTAGATTATTAGTATTGGCACTTGCACAATGTTATCACAAGAAAGTGATATATCTGAGAATATATTAAGGCCATATGAGATCAAACATGCATTATAATCTTTTTACTCTGACATGCAATATTAACATGTACTAGTGGAGCTGAAGGGGCTGATGTTTGTAGCACTATTTCAGGTTACCGATGCTTCAAGGCTGTTATGTTTCTCACTGGCTTTATCTTCGCGTCCGTGGTAGTGTACTTGATCTGCTTAAGCGAGGACCTGCTACCCCTGGTGGGGAACGCCGGCGTTGCCCTGGGAGCAGGTGTCATGTTTGGGCTCATCACCATGCTGGTTCAGTACGTGGGGCTCTTCATGACCGGATTACACACTGGCCTTTTCCTTGGAGTGGCTGGCATTGCCATAGCCTATAATTGGTAAGTTTTTTAAAATGCAGATCAACATAAATATTGCTGTTCAGTAATACAAGGGATTGCACACGACTTATGAGTTTCCTAAATGTATTATTAACAAATGGTGGATACAGACATTAATAGTACAGTACTGTAGTTTACAAAATTCACTTAAAATATCAAAATATGTTGACAGTCTTGAAAAAAGATGTGTGAAACCTCTTGAAATCATTTATAATATTCCATTCACCTGGACTGTGAATGAAACTTTTATCATTTATAATAATGTATTTAAAAATATACACAATAATATACAATTAAATACAGTATTTAATAATTGTTACAATGTGTTGATATTTAGGCAGAAATTGTTCCAATAAAATATGATACAAGATACAGTAACTAATGAATGTGAAATGATCGGGTGGTGATGATGTAAAGAAAACTTAGGAACATGAATAATACTTATTTAATTTTCAGGTGGGAATAGAATATTAGTTTATTGGTCTAAACCTGTAAAATTTTTGGAAGGTGTTTTTAATGAAATTCCTTATATAATCATCAGGTAGCTGTTGGATATTGAAAACTTTATGACAAAATCTCTATAAATTCTTCAAGCTGTTGCAAAATACAGTACAGTATATTGAAAATCCAAGACATAATGACTACCAGCAATATTATGAAGTGAAACCTATGAGTCCTTCAAGAATGCAAATTACAAATAAGTTTTACATTTTTAATAACTAATAAATAAGAAATCTTTCATGTAAAGTAAGAATGTGTTAAAATTCTGATCATTTAATGACAAATATATATACCAAGACTTCCAGTGTGCAAACTGTATAATATATTGAAATTTTAAATACTTTTACTGTACTAATATCTATTAAATCCTCTGGTTGATGCAGAATATAACTCGACTTTAAATGATATATGTTAATGCCCTTGCACTCTTCAGGTGGGTCCCCAGCAGTGTATGGCCAGTGGTAGGTATACTCCTGGCGGCAGGATTGTTACTGGCCATCATGACGCTGTATTTCCAGAAAGGGCTCACTATCCTTGGTACAGCTATTAGTGGAGGAGCCATCATGTCTGCCACTCTTGACTATTTTATTGAGAAGGTATTAAGTTTGCTCTGTGACTCCACTCAGCTGTTATTTAACACACACACACAATACATCAATTGTTGTACTTGGTCCTCTTTCTCATAAACATTATTAACGTACTAAATGCCACACACCTTAAGCCAGTATTATTTGCTGAAGACAAGTAATTTTTGCAAATGCTAACTCAGTTATCCCAATGGACACAGTAAGTGCTGAACTAAAATAGTTCAGTACTTGATAGTACAGTTTAATAGTACAGTAGTCAGCCACACAAGGTTGACTACTGTACTATCAAACTCACCCTTAACACTGAAAAAAGCTTATTACATATTATCTGGAAATAAGTCAACTTATCAACTAGAACTGTGAATAAACAATACCAAAATTGAGAAAAGAGTTGAAGGTAAATTACTCGACATACAAAATCCACAAAAAACCAGCGTTGAATGTAATGAAACGCCATTTTCTGGGTGAGACCCGGAGGCTCCCCGGAGCTTTACCGGCTGATATGCTAATGTCAGACTTTGGCATCAGTCATGTGTATGGAGTTCTAGGGCCTACCGGGGACCACGAGCCAGAACCTGGCCCCCTCAGAGAGGCAAGGGGAGCAATGGCCTATAGAAACCCCCGTGTGGTTGGAAGCATTCTATGTCTGCCATCGACCGGGTCAAGCATCCAGAAAGGTAAGCATTCCAAAACAAACCCCTATTCTGGTGAAAATTGCTACCTAAGCCGAACTAGTGAATAGAACTCTTCAACAGAAAACACGGAAACTAGTATGACGTCATACGTCACCGCGCCGCTGTCTGCGCAGCTCCCCCCTCCCCGGGAGGGGGAAGGGGGAGCCCCAGACCTCCCACGCCGGCTATCCACCCATCAGTTCTGAGGCTGGATGTCAAAACACGCGAAAAACGCCGACCGGAGGGAGGGAGGGTTGCCGGGGAGCCTCCGGGTCTCACCCAGAAAATGGCGTTTCATTACATTCAACGCTGGTTTTCTGGGGGGAGCCCCGTCGGCTCCCCGGAGCTAACTACCCACAGAGGAAGGTCAAAGGGACAAAACCGGGAGGCGGACACCACGCACCCCCCAAGGAGGCGAGACAACCGGCAGCAAACGCCAACCCAAGGCGCCACAGCCCCGAAAATCCCGGGAACAACACGAGAACCACGAGCAGCAAGGCCCCTGCACGAACACCAAAAATCCATGCCCGAAAGACTGCAAGGCCACGTCGCCCAGACGGCAGCGAGAGCAGCGAAGCCACGAACGCCACAGGCATAAGGGAAGAACACAGGCAGCTTAGCCACAAGAACACGGCTGACCACCCGGGACACCATCACCCGCGAACCGGGAAGAACAGAACCGGATCAACGCAAAACGCGCTCCGGACCCAAACGCCGTGGCACGCAAACAACAGCAGAGGGCCGCCACTGAACACAAAAACGACACACCCCCGGCCCGACCAACGAAGCACCAACAAACCCTGGACCCCTCCAGAATGCAGCAGCCCCACCCCGCGCCAGAAAAGATGGAGACTGCTGCCATCAAACAACCAAAACGCTAAAACCGAAGGAGCAAGAAAACACAGCGAACCGACCCCCAGAGGCAAAGGCCCAAAGGAAAGAGCCGACGAAAAAACACACCGGAACCGAAGGGGCACTACCAACCGAGGAGAAGACAGAGCACGCTGACCAGAGACCAGGATGGTGCAAGCGGCGCACGAACAGGCCGGAGGTGAAATGACGCACAAGACAGCTGACTAACGGTGCAGAAGCAACACCAAGACCGAAAGCAAGCTGAAGCGGCTCCGCCTGCGCCGCACGAAAAGAGGCGACAGTATGTGGCAAGACGACGGCCCCCAACCCCCACTAGAAAACCAAGCCGAGAGTAAACCAAGCCAACAAGAAGGACCCACCGAAGAAGGGACAGGAAAAGGAAGGACCGCCAAAATACCCCATACTGCCGCCAAGAAGCACGCAGGTGGGACACCTACCACGAAGCCACCCGACCACCAACCGGAGGCGAGACCACGAGGCAGAACATAAGCAGCCCCGACAAGGCCCCCCCGAGCCCAGGAAAAAGGCGGAGCCGCGAGAAGATCTCGGGCGCGACCACCGAAACCCAGGCGGCACAAGGAGATGGAACGTCTGCCGAACAGAAAAACTCCGAAGCATGCAAGCCCGCCAGGAGTTCAGAAACGACGGGTCCGACGCGAGACATCGCAAGAACCCCCCCAAAAAAAATAAAACAACAACAACAACCGGCAGGGCAAGCTAGGAAAACCAAAGAAGGCGGAAGGGTCGCCGCCAGAACAGGACCCGAACCAAGGGGCCCGAACAACTGCAACAGACCGAAACAAAGAAGCACATCACAGGACACAGGCTGACCAACGCCTAAGAACACACGCAGAACATTCCTGCTGCAGAAGAGGCAGGAAGAAAGAGCAGAAGCACAAAAAAAAAAAAACCAGGAGAACAACCAGGGGTGGACAATCAGGCAGGGACAAAAACCCCACGCAATCCCCAGGCACAAAACGGCAGCAAAGCGCCACTCCACAACCGGACACAGGAACAAGGACACGCCACCGTGAAACACGGTACCAATGCTCACGTGCAGCAGCAGCAGCAACAGGCACCACTGCAACATGCAACATGTAAATAGCAACTCCCCTCTGCAAAGGCAGAGAACGGAGCAGGCAGACCCCAGACAGGGCCAACGGAGACACGACAAAACCCTGCAGGCCCAGAAACCTGCACCAGGCGACCGACGGCGGAGAAACCCCGCTCGATACCTGCTGGATGAGGTACTGGGAGCTCTTTTACACCTCAAGCCCGGCCCAAGGTCAGGCCAGACCGGCCAGAGGATGGCCCACCAGGCAGCTGCTAGGAGCAGTCCACCGGCCCACATACCCCCACAACCAGGACGGGCCGGAACTGCCATACGAAAACAGGCCAGTGCGCCCTGGAAGTCCACGGACGAACCAGCAAGAAGGCTTATGCTCGCAAGTAGGTCGTGTAACAAGCACAGACCACTGATGGTAATACAGTGTTCCCCAAAAGTGCCAATAGCACCACTGCACTCCACTGGTACTATCCCGCAAGTTCTACCAGATAGGCGGGACCCAAGAGCCAGAGCTCAAATCCTGCAAGCACAGCCAGGAGCCTCACCAGGTGAGTACAGAACCAACCCTACAACCCCCACACCTCACAACATTAAAAAAGGAGGGTCCCCTGAACGACTGTAGCATGGGTTGGACATGCACAGGAGGGGGACAGGAAGGGGTGATAAAGGGACAGTCACTGGTGTGCGAACGGTCTCAGTCGTACAAAATTATACCTAAATAAAGACAGGTATATGAACACCGCCGCATCCAGCGCCCGGCCAAAAGACGCCAGACCGCAGAAACTCACCTGGCGAATGGTGGCTCGAACTTGACACGACTCAACCGTGCCCAGAAGAACTTGGGAGCACCGCCAGGTGAAGACGCCAGAGCCGGACCCGCAGGAGAACAGGGAGAGGCGAAGGAGGCGGTCCACACCCATGACACAGAAAACCGCGGTGTCCTCCCCACAACTGGGAACCAGGACACCCCTGGCGCAAAGGGGCACATACCGCAGCCAGGGAGAAGAACGAGAGGCGAAGCACTGTAGCAAAAAAGGGCGCAAAACCCCAGCACTGAACCATCGCCCAGACCAAAACAAACTCCACGGCGCATGCGCATAACACGCTGGCCGAACCGCACACCCTCCCTGCGGGAAGGCGCCAGCCAGGACTATTGCACGAGAAAAAGAGCCAAAAGAGGAAGCAGGAACAAGAAAACCGGCCAAAGAAGCAAAGAGCCCAAAAAAAGGGAACCCAAACGGGCGACAAGTAGCCCAAACGGGCGACAAGTAGCCCAACCGGGCGACAAGTAGCCCAACAGGGCGACAAGTAGCCCAACAGGGCGACAAGTAGCCCAACAGGGCGACAAGTAGCCCAACAGGGCGACAAGTACTAGGAGCCGACAGACGTTCCAATAATGCGGGAAGTAGCGAAAAACCTTCCCGTACCCTCGAGAACACAGAAGCCAACACTAGTCCCGAAGGCACACGAAGGCGCAGGCGCACCCGAGATCAAAAGTCACGCAGAACCCCATCGAACGGGGAAACATGACAAAAACACCGTCCCAAAAAGCGGGGGAGGAAACATCCACCCACAGGACGGAACCAACCGACTCAAAGGCCAAGGAACCGAGCCCGGGGAGGGGCCGACGTCCAACAGCACGTACGGCGAGTGGGGAGGAAAAACCCCACTCCGCGTAACCACAAGCCCCGCCTAGAGGGGGATAAAACCCCCCACGGGGTCTAACGGGGCCAAGGCCCCCCAAGTCAGCCCCTCCCCAGCCCCGGGAACCTACACGACAGGCCCCGGGGCCGAGCCGTTCCCCCAAAGCCCCGGCCGTACCAGAAAACCGGGGCAGCCGTGAAAACACTAAGGAAGGGAGCCCACTGGCAGACTCATACAACACGGCTGGAGGAACAGGCCCAAATGCCCCCGTCACTACCCCGGAAGGGGAATTCCCCGAGACTGCCCGAGTCTCAACACCACCAAACACCCCGCCCTGAACCTACAGACGGTAAGGAACCGGATGCAGGCAGGAAGGGTGAACCAGGGGAAAAACGAAATACAACGGGGCAGCCCCGGGGCTCCCGGGGAGGAAACCACGAGAACGTTGCCACCACCAAGGCTCAAGTGCAACGCCCCTGCTGCCCGCACCCGCTTTGTTAGCACAACTGGGTAACCGAGCCACAACGAGCAACCAAACTCGCAGGACACCGGGTCGAAGGTGTCACCGACCCCACAGGCAGCAGACGGAGGCAAAACAGAGAGTCACCCAGAGACAAAAGGTGAGAGCAACCCTCAAACTCGCTGGAAGCGAGGGGGGGGCTCTGGGGTCACATCCATCGGACCCGCGCGCCCCCAGGGGTTTCCCAGGGTCCCGAGCGTTTACTTTAAGAGGACTCGCGCTCAGGTAATCCCAGGCAGGGTACTGCTAACCGGCACCCAAGCTACCAAACAACTTTCTAAGAGCTGAACCCCCGGGACGTGTACACTCACGGGGACCTAGCAGGGGGTACCACCAGAAATACTCAGAACACAAGGGACACAAGGGGCAAGAACGAAGGCAGACCCCCCACCAGGTATATAAACAAAAGAAAAAGAAAACCCCGCAAGAGGACAGCGTACCCAAGCGGAACAGAGCCGGCCGCTATGATTGGTAAAGACAAGCTGCACAGTACCCCGCGCCCCACCAGTGCAAACACTGCCCCTTACTCTAAGGCGAACAAGGGAGACAGAACACCCGAGCACACAAAGAGCGGCCGAAAACCAAGCGGTAAACGGCCAAGCAGGGGCAGGACCCAAGGAACTTGTGGAAGGTGGCCCCAAGCCCCAAGGGCAGTACTTACAGGGCACCTAGGGAAGGGAACCCTAGGCGCATGCAGCCCGAGTACTGAAGAATCACACCCGGCTCACGCACCACCTAGAAAACAGACACCACACTCTAGGTACAGTGCTGAAACAACCACTGGAGCCGGAGCACATAACCATTGCCTATAGCATCAGCCGAAGAACTGATGGGTGGATAGCCGGCGTGGGAGGTCTGGGGCTCCCCCTTCCCCCTCCCGGGGAGGGGGGAGCTGCGCAGACAGCGGCGCGGTGACGTATGACGTCATACTAGTTTCCGTGTTTTCTGTTGAAGAGTTCTATTCACTAGTTCGGCTTAGGTAGCAATTTTCACCAGAATAGGGGTTTGTTTTGGAATGCTTACCTTTCTGGATGCTTGACCCGGTCGATGGCAGACATAGAATGCTTCCAACCACACGGGGGTTTCTATAGGCCATTGCTCCCCTTGCCTCTCTGAGGGGGCCAGGTTCTGGCTCGTGGTCCCCGGTAGGCCCTAGAACTCCATACACATGACTGATGCCAAAGTCTGACATTAGCATATCAGCCGGTAAAGCTCCGGGGAGCCGACGGGGCTCCCCCCAGAAAATATCTAAAACTGTAGTCATACTCTTAAATCCAATACTACGTACTTTCTGTTCTAATTTCACTATTTACTTGTCTATTCTTATCTCACCTATGGTATCTGTGCCTAGGAATCTGCAATTCAAAACTACCTCATTCCCTAATCACTCTATACAAATTAGGAGCTAGAACAATAAACTCCACCTCCAGACAGCATGCAACACCTTTAAATCCCTAAACATGCTACATATAAAAAATACTGCATTCTCTTAAATGTACTCTGTATCTATATAATGTTGAAGTGCAGTACAGTGCTAATACTGGTCTCAAGTGCTTTTTGTAGAGTTGCAATTGCACCCATAAATATATACTGTATTTATATTCTAAGAGTAGAACTCGACAAAAGCAGAAATGACATGCAAATAAAGGATCTTAAATTGTAGAATGAACTCTCAAATTAAATAGCCCGCATCTCCTGTTCTCAGTCCTACATTGTGGCTTGTTGAGGTTAAAGCTCCTTGTTTGTGTTGACCTGAAGAAAAATCTGGATCAACATCCTCTAACTTGTTCAATATTTTAAAAGTTTAAATGAGATTCAATGAGTTAAAAAATATTTCTCAGTCTTCTGACCATTTGTGGAGTTCATGTAAATCTCTCTGTAAGGCTTCAATATTGTTATTATTTCCCAATTTATCTTTGTGTCATCTGCAAATATGATGATATGGTTTGTAATATTCTCGTCTATGTCATTGATGTATACGACAAAAAAAGTAGGTCCCAAAATGGATCTTTGAGGCACCCCACTTAGCACATTTCTCCATTTACATTTGTTTCCATTTAGCAAGATGATTTGTTTTCTTTCCTTCAACCATTGTTTTATTCATTCTAATTTTTTACCATTTATTCCATGGATTTGTAATTTCCTTGCCAGTCTTTCATGTGGTACCTTATGAAAAGCTTAACCAAAATCCATGTATACTATGTCCAAATGCCAAAACTTTACTGAATTTTAAAATATACCTGGAAAAGATCAAGGCAAATGGGTGGGGGGGGGGGCCTTCGACAAGCTGCCGGCTTCCTGTCCTCTTTGAGGGCACTAGGCTAGTGGCCCTCAGGTATATTAGTTAAAATCCACTAGAAGGCCTTTGAGTAATTGGTTACCTTTTCCAAAAATGTGAGCAAATTTGTAAGGCGGGATCTTTTTTTTTAACAAATCGATATTGTCAATTGTACAAGAATGTTCACTGAAAGATGGTGAATGATTCCCTCCCTGAGGATTTCTCCGTGAGCTTGTAGATGTGTGATGTCAAGCTGATCGGCTAGTAGTTTTCTGCCGAGCTCTTTCTGCCCTTCTTTTTTTTTTAAATAGGGGTGACATTTGCACATTTCCAATCTAGAGGGACTACCCCTTGGTCTGGAGATTTTGTGAAAAGTAGCTTCAGCAACAGACATAGTTCTTCTGCCAGTTTTTTTAATACTTTGGATTGGATTCCATCCATACCTGGGGCTTTTGAGTGTTAGTTTGTCAATGTTCTTTCTAATTATTCTGCATGTTATGTGTATATCCCTAAATTCATTTTCCTCCCCTCTTTCAAACATTTGTGTGGGTGATGGGATGTCATCCAACCAATCTTGTGCAGTATTTCCTAAAAAAATTAAAACTCGATACATTCATTATCTAAGGTTATACTGAAATCCTGTGTATAATTAGTTCCTAATTATATGCAGTATATAATTACAAATACAGTAGTAATAATAATAATAAATTTGATAAAAGTACATACATTTGATACATAAAACAGCGGATAAGTCATACAATAGAAATGCACATTACATAAAGCTACAAATATACGTAGCATTTCAAGCATAGTGTAAAAATATTTAGATTTATTTACTCTAATCGGATAAACTGTCTTTCATAAAATGTATTATAAATAGAAGTTTTAAAAACTACATATTTTCTCATTTCAGTTCTTAATGGTTCACTGGTTTGAAGACCGATTGAAGGCAGTGGATAGTGAACGTCCATGTTGGTTTTCATGGATGATTTTAGGAGTTTGGCCTTTTATGGTGGTGGTGGGAAGCCTTACACAGTGGAGGATCACAGGGAGAGGCATCTATCATCAGCAGTGTAAGCCATTTTCAGGATTACATAAACTGTAGATCTTGGAGTTAGATTTTATTTACTAATGTCCACCTCTTGACCTCATTCATATGCATGTGTTAAGACAGTCGTTGTTATGAATGTAATATCTTTAAATATTGTGTGTGTTCAGAGGCATACTAGCTCAAGTGTGTTGTAGGTGTTTTAAATATTGTGTGCACAGAGGCATATTAGTTCAAGTGTATTGTAGGTGTTTCCTGCATGCTTAAAACAAATGTGTATTGCATTAATGAATGCTCAAAACAGTCATTATAAAGCGCATTCCAGCGCTGCCATCCAAAATTTCATCTGTCCATCCTAGCCTGTCACCACTGACAAAAACTTACTGAAAGGAAATTTTTACCTTTGTCAATAAGTTAGTTCAAAATTATGGGTACAGTATATTTGTTTTCCAGTGGTGCCCTCCAAAAAATCTCGAAGTGTGAACCTCCAGCGAATGCGGAGTCGAGAGGCCAGGGCTGAGATGCGCCAGAAGAAATACCGGTATTTGTATCAAGTTCGTACTGCTCACGGGGACATCATCAGCCAGGTGAATATGCCAGTGTCCGATCTCAGATATACGACTGTTAGCGAGGCTTAGCAGTGTCTGTCTGGCGGATTCGTGGTGGTGGGACTAACTGGTGGTTGTGCCGTCTTATGCAAGTGTTCAGGTATGCACTGTTGTTCCTCTTGTTTACGTCCTGTTTACTGCCTTCTGCCTCCTCCAGTCTATGTGAACTTCTTGGTGAGGTACAGGCCATCTTCCTTCAGTATCTGTGTGAGTTTTAAACATGAACTGCTCTTAGGTGTGCTGAAAGATTCCAACTGCAACACCTTTCTTGCTTTCCTATTATGCTTCTCTTTCTTTTAACATAAGCACCTATTTTTGTGTTTAGTATGCTTTCATTAACATTAACTAAAGTTGCTCAGTGTTCTATTTTTATTGAATTAACTTCAAAATTCATTTTCTTTAATTTTAAGAAATGTTTACATATATGCATACAAGTATTAATTATACTTACCTGCTCACCCACCTATACCCATGACAACCAAACCTGTCAATGAGAGATCCTGGTCATGATGCCAATAGCATAGGAATTACCCTCATTTATTGACATCATGGCAGGTCTGAAAGCATGCTACTGTGACCCAGTAAGTAATGTAAATTTTAATTTACATTTTTAATGGGTCATCACTGAACAGTCTTGCCTGTGCTTCATTATCAGTTGTTTTAACAACTGATAGCATAGCAAAGCATAGCAAAGACTGTGCAAATTAAGCAATACACTAGACTGGTGTCCCATCTGTTGTGTTCAGTGGATCAGCTATTTGCTGCATAGGACAGCTTAAAGGGAGTCAGAACTAACAATCTTTATCTGTACAATGACGAGCTGGCACAACAAAAAACCCGAGGGACAAACAGAATACAAGACCAATCTCTCGGCCTTCTAGGAACAATGTCAAAAAGAGTTTAAATTGCTTCTAAACAATTGCCAGAAGCCCAGTAAATAAATTTGACACATTGTGTGCATATACAGAACTGACGTGAATCCTGACATCATTGGGATCCGCAAAAGATAGGGAAATAAAGATAAAGGGAAATTTCATCTTCCAGAGTACCACATACCATTCAGAAAGAATGGAACAGGTGCTTACCCAGCAGGTGTAATATTACACATGAAAGGGCTTGACTGGGGCCATCAAAGAGGAATTAAACATGGGATGTTCAGAATCGGCACAGTGCAGTATCTGAAAATAGCAGCAAATTGATAGTGGGAGTATGTTAGAGAGCAGACAGAGCAATGGCAGAGGAAGCTACTGCCATCATGTGATAAAAGGCAACAGCTGAATCACAAGTTCCAATAATGCTCTGTTAACATTTAAAGTACAACTGGAAAAGATCTTCAAGGCAAATGGGGGGGGGGGACCTTCAACATTTTTTAATTGTTGCTGCTGGAGACGGCTAGTTTATTATGCACCCCCATACTCATCCTTTGAGCAGTAGCACGAAAAGTATTACAGAGGGCACAAGAGGTCTTTATCAGACCTCAACTTAGATTATTACATAAACAATTTCATCTATCCTTCACACCTTGTAATTACAATGTCAGCTAGTTACAGAGACTGTTCTATTTCAAGAGCTATATATTTACAGTAAGTCATTATACATACATGGTAAGTCTTATCACTAATATGTTTGGGCAATGGAGATACTGTATTACAGAGTCATGGGGGAGCTGCCGTTTATTATTAGTCTTCACAATACACTACTTTTTTCTTAATCTCATATGTCGTTTATCTACTGGAAGCAAAATATGGATACAGTGCAAGGATTTTAGGTATTTTATCCTTAGTAACAAGATAGGTTGCCATATCATACAGCGTGAGCTTAGATTTATCTCTAAATGGCTCAATTTCACTACAATCTAAGATAAAATGTTCGAGTGTGTGTCCCTGTCTTTGTCCATACACTTTACTTCATCTAGTTCCCTATACAAGCCAAACTGCCAGAGAGACTTGGAGCCAAATCTTATTCGAGCTGTGACAATGTCTGTTAGCCTGCTGACTTTGTTACTTGCCCCATACACATGTTTTACTTCACACCTTTCATTGTGATAAACAATTGACCTGCTAGTTCCAGTTTGCACTGTTCTACTTTCTTCAAATTCATCCAGGAGTTCTCATTTAATGACACTTTTAAGGGACTTATTTGATAACTCAAGATTCCGTTCAATACCGTCTTTATTTACTGCAATTTTAGCAAGGACGTCAACTTTATCATGTTCCTGCAGGCAAATGTTTGAAGGAATCCACAACATTTTTATATTTACCCCCTTACTAAGTATGCTTATATATCCATGTCTGGCTTCTGAGACAAGCATGTCAGCTCTCATGTAAATTCAGGAATAGTTAACCATGAAAGAATACCAATGGAGGAAATCACTTACCTTGTCACAAGTGCATATATCATAACATCAACACAAATTGATTTTGTTGAAAACAGATCCTGTCTAACACTTTGTGCGGCCCGGCGTGAGCACTCCAGCCCACCCCAAGGTAGGCCTAATGTTTCCTGGGAGTGCGCACCCCACACTAAAATGTGTATACGAGTATTAGATTCAGATTCAGATGTTTATTCAGGTAAGGTATATACATACAAGTGATGTTACATTAATGGATTGATATATAGATAGAGCTAGTACATACAATGCCTAAAGCCACTATTACGCAATGCGTTTCGGGCAAGAAAAACATTAATATCTAGAACTTAATACTAATTGAGCATAAAGAATAAAAAGTGTTGAGAACAAATACAAATAAAGATAAAAAAAAGGGGGAACATGACTGAAAAAGCAGCACAAATACAATAGGTTGACAAACAGTGTTGATTAAAAAAAAAGAAAATAACGGACATGGGTTGACAATAGAGGAGTGAGGTAGGTTACAGGGAATTTATTAGGTAGTGTTTAGTTTTTATCTTAAACTGGTTGAGAGAGGTACTGTCTTTAACATGGTTGGGAAGGTCATTCCACATTCTGGGCCCCTTGATTTGTAGAGCATTTCTGGTTTGATTAAGTCGTACTCTAGGAATATCAAAACTGTATTTATTTCTGGTGTGATGCTCATGGGTTCTGTTACAACCTTCTATGAAGCTTTTGAGATCAGGATTAGCATTACAATTTAGCGTTTTGTATATGTATAGTACACATGAGAGAATGTGCAGTGACTTAATGTCTAACATATTCAGGGATTTGAATAGGGGTACCGAGTGATGTCTGGGGCCAGAATTGGATATTGTCCTAATAGCAGCTTTGTGTTGAGTAATTAGAGGACGTAAATGATTTTGGGTAGTAGAGCCCCAAGCACAAATACCATAGTTGAGATATGGATAGATAAGGGAGTAATAGAGAGTCACCAGGGCAGGGCGTGGTACATAATATCTGATCTTAGAAAGAATGCCCACAGTTTTTGAAACTTTTTTAGATATGTTTAGAATGTGTCCCTGGAAATTCAGCTTGTGGTCAATGAGAATGCCAAGGAATTTGCCATCTAATTTGTTACAAATTTGGGTATTGTTTATTTTGAGATTTATTTGATTAGAGGATTTATTGCCAAACAGAATATAGAAAGTTTTGTCAATGTTAAGGGTGAGTTTGTTGGCAGTTAGCCACAGATGGACTTTATTTAGCTCAGTATTTACTGTGGCATTTAGAGCAAGGGGATCAGGACTGGAGTAAATGAAGGTTGTGTCGTCAGCAAATAGGATTGGTTTGAGGTGTTGGGAGGCATTTGGAAGGTCATTAATGTAGATGAGAAAGAGGAGAGGGCCAAGTATGCTGCCCTGGGGAACACCAATGTTGATGGGTAGGGTGGGAGAAATTGTATTATTCACAGAAACACATTGGAGCCTGTCAGTAAGGTAGGATTTGAGGTATTGTAGGGAGTGTCCTCTGACACCATAATGATGTAATTTAAGAAGAAGGTTTTGGTGGTTGACAGTATCGAAAGCTTTACGCAGGTCCACAAATAACCCAACAGGGAACTCATTTTTATCAAGAGCTGTATGAATCGAGTTAAGCATACTAATAAGTGCATCGTTAGTGCTTTTTTTGGGCCTGAAGCCATATTGGCAAGGGCTAAGTATATTGAGTTTGGCTAGATATGAGTAAAGCTGCTTATAGATTAGTTTTTCAAAAATTTTTGACAAGTTTGGCAGGATTGATATAGGTCTGTAGTTGTTAACATCTGTGAGATCACCGTATTCTTTTCAGTGTTCTGACCTCAATTTCTGTGCTATGTTGTTCATTTTTGGTATCAAATTGTTCACAATCTAAAGGCGCACTTTTTAAAAATAGTCCCATAATAATCAAACAATAAATGGAATTTTAACAAATTTTAATTTTGGACGCAAAATGAGTCTCTGCCAGACATCCGTAGAGTTAATCATGGATGCAATATCCATCACAGTGAGCTGAAAGTGTTAACCTGCTTACATTTTTTGGAAATACTATAGTAACCAACTACTTAGACCTAACCTGGTAAGACAAAGAGCTTTTAGTAGATAGGCACACAGATCTCTCTAAAGCTTTGATAAAGTATCACGTGAAAGACGTGGCACAGAAACTGCAAGCACGTGGAATAAAAGACAATACCAGAATGGTTAAAACAAAGAAAGCAAAGGGTCACCTTAAATGAAATTGACAAAGAATCTTTAGTGAAGTCCGACAAGTTTTCCTGATATGGGGCAATCCTTTTTGTAATACACAGTACATAAACAGATGAGAAAAATCATAGAGTATCATCAGATTTGCAGATAAGCAAAATCTATGGTAAATTGGAAGGCAAAAAATTATTTTGAAGCCTTATAGTGATTTACATGGATGCCACAAATGATCAGAAGACTGGCAAATACATTTCAATACTGAAAAGGGCTATTCAGTATACTGTAGATAATGATGATTATTATATTTTTGTTGGGGACAGAAAGACTGTATATATAGGAGAACTAGAGGACTGAAGACAGGAGGACTGAGAACAGGAGATTCTTTT